CATACACTCCATAGCTGTGAATGTGATTTCAGTGAGAGCGTTCAGAGCGGAAGGATGGTCCAGGGGCTAGGGCACTAACCTTGTCTCTGCTCTGTCCCAGACTCTCTGTGTGACCTTGGTCAAGTAACTTAGTCTTTCTGTGCCTCAGTTCCCATCTACAAAATGGAAACAATCACTAGCTTATGAGGCAATCAGATGCTACAGTGATGGGGGCCATACAACTACCTAAGATGTCTAGTTACTATAAGACTGATTCTGCCCATGGGGAGGTCAAATCTCATGATGGGGAGTAGGCCACAGGGAATATAGCTCTTGCTGTGAATGCATGATAAACACAAGAGACTTCTATTTACATTTTAAAAAAAGAACAAACAAAACCTTATCTTTACAACTCTGAGTCAGGCCTGCTTCCATTCTACATTCAAATGGGAGCTGCCTTCCCCATATACCAGGATGCATTTTCAACATTTCAGCTTCCTCGGTCACTGATTCTCATTTTTCAAGACTATGATCTCAAAGGGGATCGTAGCGCTGTTTTCTTCGGGTTCGAGAATTTTTCATTTAAAAATGATGGCACGTCTGTGTCACTCCAGTTTATTCTGATGCAACTCTGTTGGATGTAAACTGCAGTAATATACTGGTGAATTAAGGCCAACATTGCTAATCTTTCTGGCTGTGAAGAGAAGCTACAGAACATAAATTGTTTCAATAATTGGATGTATTGATTTTTAATGTATATTGTTGCACAAATCTACAGACAGCAAATATTTATAATAGGGGTAAAAATCATATTCCCACCATCTTTAATTAGTCCCTATGTACTTTTTGGGACAACAACCAACTTTTGGAAGACTTTTGATCATGCATAGAATAGTTTTGCAAATTCACGGGGACACCTGTACATCTATTAAATATTCAGGCTCAGAACCTTCCCCAGGAAGTCATTCACAGAGGGAATTCTCTGGATGCAGATCTACCCTTGCCTTTCCAGAAAAGAGGGGAGCTTGCTGCTACCATCATTTGATCCCTGCAAAAGCTTCTATACTCTTTGTTGAAGGAACTCCATGGAGTCTGGTGGGAGGGCAGGAGAGGAGAGGTTACTGGTTGCACTCCATGGCACCTCTCTTTGTAGATCCCCTAGACTTCCCTGCAGAAATATGGGAGGCAATGCATGCAGCTGGAACTGTGCAAACAAAGACCCTACTGCTGAAAACACTTACACCTTTGCTTAACTTTACACACTGTGAGACGTCCTACAGGTTTCAATGGACTTATGCTTGGGCTTTTCCCATAGTTAGAACCAGTTAAAACTGGGAATGAAAAAACAAGGGATTAATACAAACACATGTTATTTTTCAGGTGTACAATAAAACCTGCATGTTTAGCATAAACAGAGCTTTGCCTATACATAAGGGGGCATTATTCCAAGTTGAAGCAATGTACAACCACACTTCATATTCAGCAGAAGCCAGATTCATTCCTCAAGGTAATGCATTACAGTTTGTGAAAGGTTTTGTCTATCTACAAAATTTTGAGAAAAAACTCAGAATACATTTTATTCTAGAAGTTATCATTAATTTCATTTTTTATTACAAATGCATTTGCAAATCTGCTACAATGATGCCATTTTGTAACAAACTGTGGCCTCAATTGTGCTAGTGACATTGTGGCACAGGAAAGGTCCACTTTTGCACAGTAACTTGCAGGATAGAACCATGTGTGTGAGATATGATTGCTTTTCTTATGTCAGTCTCTTAGGGCTGGTCCACACTAAGCCCCCAGTTCGAACTAAGATACGCAACTTCAGCTACGTCAATAACGTAGCTAAAGTCGAAGTATCTTAGTTCGAACTTAAAGGTACTTACCGCGGTTTCACAGACGGCAGGCAGGCTCCCTCATCGACTCCGCCTACTCCTCTGGCGGAGCAGGATTACCGGAGTCGACGGCAAGCTCTTCCGGGATCGATTTATCACATCTAGACAAGATGCGATAAATCGATCCCAGAAGATCGATTGCTTGTCACCGAACCAGCGGGTAAGTATAGACGTACCCTTAGAGAAACTGGGGATTAAAATGGTGCGTAGCAAAATAAAACAGTGACCACATTATGTGTCTTCACTGAAGCAGTTTATAGCTAGCATGAGCCTCATTCTGGCTGACTAATACAAACTGAGTCATATTGTTAATGGTTATGACAACTAGGTTTAATCACCATGGTTAAATGGAATGCAAAAGTTTTCAAACTTCAAACTTCTATTGATGATACCTAAAATCATCAATAGAAGTTGC